ATCAAATTTACAAGAGGGGATCTTCAAGGACGATCAAGTGCCGCCTCACCACTCGGCAGAGCTCCAGAAATGAGAGGCGCCGGAGGTTGACTGTTTGAAGTCACACCACTCGGCGGAACTTCAGGAAGAAGAGGAGCCAAAGGTTGATCATTTGGAGCTTCATTACGCGGTACAACCCCAGAAGACGAAGGCAAATGCTGCTGGAACAAACCCACAAACCTCTGATGATCAAGTAAAATCTGACCATCAGATTCCTGCATCTGGTTAATCTTCCTCTTCATGTTTGTCGCATAGCTATGTGCGAGCTTATGCAACTGTTTATTCTCCTACTTGAGCCCTCTAATCTCCTGTTTGAGACTCATCACTTCAGCCGCCAATGATTCAACTTGACGGGTTCGAGCAAATAGGCGTTGGGCCATATTAGACACAGAACCTGCACACTGCACACTGAGAGCCAGAGAATCCTTAACAGCCAACTCATCGGACCGTTTGGAAAGTAGTCTGTTATCTCTGGGAGTGACAAGGTTTCGGGCCACCACTGCAGCGGTCATATCATTCTTCACCACCGAATCCCCAACGGTAAGAGGACCAGTGGGGGATATGAAGGATGGGCGCCATATGTTGTTTGGAGAAGGCGGGACTGCCTCTTCACCAAGGTTCAAATCAAAACGACGGTCGGAGGGCCCAGACATTTTCAAAGGTGTTGAAGAAAGAAGAGGTCGGACAAATTAAGATCTTAGAAGTGCAAGAGGGGAGTTTCTACAAGCGAAAATTCAAGTGTGCTTTGAAACGAACTGCGTGCCTCTATAAAAAAATCAGCACTCGACGGGATTTCAGGGATCGAAGAGGTGAGCTCAGAGATCGAAAATGCCGATTCAAAAATCGAAGAGGCAAGCTCAGAAATCGGAGAAGCATCTTGCTTTTCCAGACGCATCAGCACCCGTCACGCGCAAATTCAGCTTTGCGGAAATCACGGGCAAGTTGTCGAAGCGCCGATCCCAGATATCGAAGAGGCGCTAGTTTTTTTTCAGCCTCGTCAGCACCCGTCACGTGCAAACTCAGCTTTGCGGAAATCACGGGCAATTTGTCGAAGCGCCGATCCCAGATATCGAAGAGGCGCCAGTCTTTTTCAGCCTCGTCAACACCTGTCACATGCACACTCAGCTTGACGAAAATTACGGACAATTTGTTGAAGATTTCTGATAAAGAAGAAAACACGTGAAGCCATACTGATCAATCATGCATTGGTTGCCGACACGAGTAAAAGAATAGTACCTCTACAGGTACTAAAGAATTTCCTATAACTGTCCACCTTCACCCTTCATAGCAAGGCAGACATACAGAACCTTTCTTCATCTCCGAGAATGCCTTCCCAACGAAGCCTCTCGGGTCACTCAGTGTTCTTTATTCCTTGGGGTACCTCTGCAAGCCAATGACTCCAAAGCAAAAGTATCTCATATCACCAGGGTAGAAAGCAAAAGTATCTCATATCATGCGTTCTCCCTGTCCTTTCCTTTGTCCTTGTTCCTACCTACAAAGACAAGGATAAATAAAACAATATGCCGGAACTTCCACTCAAACTCGGGTAAGGAACCGACTGCTAGGAACCCTTCCCTGATTGCCTACCTAGCATTGCTCTCGAGTACTCGTCTCCCACTGCTGCTGTACTTCCAAAGAAGCTGCCACATCTACCTGAAGAACAGATAAAGGCAAGTGAAAATGATACCTTGCAGCATGTGGAGACAACGTGCAGAAGAAACAAGCAGAGAAGAATGCGGTCTGCACAGTCAACTCAGCAGAAGGAGTCCGAACTGAGGAACTCGAGAAGTTGCCACATCTGCCTGAAGAAACAAGCAGAGAAGAATGCAGCATGCACAGTCAACTCAGCAGAAGGAGTCCGAGCTGAGGAACTCAAGAAGCTGCCACATCTGCCTGAAGAAACAAGCAGAGAAGAATGCAGCCTGCACAGTCAGCTCAGCAGAAGGAGTCTGAGCTGAAGAACTCGAGAAGATGCTACATTCTGCCAGAAGAATAGATAAGACAAGGGAAAATGATACATTGAAGCATGTGGAGACAAGCACAACAAACCACGTGCCGATTCATCCGCTATTTCTTCAAAATCAAAAGTATCTCATATCATCATGTTTGCCATCACTTTGGGTGGAGGACTCGTTTTGACACTCAAATTCTTGGGTCGACTTGCTAGGCGTTGTGGGCTGCAGGTGCCGTTTCACCACCCTTGGGTCAAATCTTTAAAGATCAAGTCACCAACTGGAAGAAGAACCCATCAGTCTTGAAGATCATACCGTTGACCAAACTACTCAGGTGTGAATTAGAAAGATTGAACAAAGCAACAAGCCGTCACCTTCACCTCTTGCCTGCTTGCCATATGTTCGAGTCAACCTTCAAGAATCAAGCCTCAACGGCCTTTGAAGAAGTTTCAGGCCAAATTCAAGATCAAGCCTCGATGGCCCTTGAGGAAATCACAAGTCCGATTCAAGATCAAGCGTCCACCATATTTGAATCAAATCCAGTTCAAGAATAAGCTGTGGAAAATCAACAATTGGAGGAATCCAGAAAATCCTCCAACCCAGTTCAAGATCAAAGCTGTGGAAAGGCAACAAGCGCAACAAAATACGTGCCGATTCATCCACTACCAAAGCCAAAGATCATCTACCACATGAAGCTCCTTGTGGTCCAATTTCAACCTTCAAGATCAAGCCTCGACGACCCTTGAAGAAATCTCCAACCCAATTCAAGATCAAGCCTCAACGGCCCTTGAAGAAATCTCTAGCCCAATTCAAGATCAAGCCTCGACGGCTCTTGGATCGACATCTACATTAAGGGACTTCAAAACGCATCTCCTACACGTGACAAGCACATGTATACAACGCGCCTTGAAGTGGGGGCATTTGTAGACATCGAAATTTCGGTAAATAAATATTGACCGATAAATCAAAGTTTCAACGCTCATGTATTACATAAATTTTACACGTAGCGTGTGTCTAAACAAAAAAATCGAAATAAGTTGGAAAAGTCATCAAACAGGCCTGGCAGAAACGACTTATTTCATCTGGAATATTATATTCAAAATTAGGTCTTGGAAATTTCTATAAATAGAAGGCTAATTCATTCATTTGAGGGGAGGAATTCATATTACACCTTGAAGCTCTGAAGCTTTGAAACTCCGAAGCTCTCAAGCATCCAGGTTCCCGAAGAATCAAGAAAGCCTTTTTCGTTCTTCGTTCATCGTTCTTCCAAGATCAAGCCCCAACGGCCCTTTGGATCAACAATCATTCACCAATTCAAGATCAAGCCCCGACGGCCCTTGAAGAAAGTGTTCTTCGTTCTTCGTTCATCGTTCTTCTAAGATCAAGCCCCAACGGCCCTTGGATCAACCATCCACCAATTCAAGATCAAGCCCCGACGGCCCTTGAAGAAAGCACAATCGTTCATCATCAGTTCATCCAAGATCAAGCCCCAACGGATCCAAAGATCAAGCCCCAACGGCCCTTTGGATCAACAACGTCGACAAATCCACACATCCAACCGTTCTTCAAGATTAAGCCCAAAAGCCCTTGAAGATCCGTTCATCACTGTTCTTTAAGATCAAGCCCAAAAGCCCTTGAAGACCCGTTCATCACCGTTATTCAAGATCAAGCCTTAACGGCCCTTGAAGAAACACTCATCCTTAACATTAAGCCCCAACGGCTCCTTGAAGATCCGCTCAAATCCACCTTCAAAGATCAAGCCCACGGCCCCTTGAAGAAACTTCCAACAGTTCATCCAAGATCAAGCCTCAACGGCCCTTGGATCAATCGCACATCCACCAATTCAAGATCAAGCCCCGACGGCCCTTGGATCAACCATCCACCAATTCAAGATCAAGCTCCGACGGCCCTTGAAGAAAGCACAATCGTTCATCATCAGTTCATCCAAGATCAAGCCCCAACGGCCCTTTGGATCAACAACGTCGACAAATCCACACATCCAACCGTTCTTCAAGATTAAGCCCAAAAGCCCTTGAAGATCCGTTCATCACTGTTCTTTAAGATCAAGCCCAAAAGCCCTTGAAGACCCATTCATCACCGTTATTCAAGATCAAGCCTTAACGGCCCTTGAAGAAACACTCATCCTTAACATCAAGCCCCAACGGCTCCTTGAAGATCCGCTCAAATCCACCTTCAAAGATCAAGCCCACGGCCCCTTGAAGAAACTTCCAACAGTTCATCCAAGATCAAGCCTCAACGGCCCTTGGATCAATCGCACATCCACAAATACACACCTTACGGAGATCGAATCAGATGATCAAATTAGAGAGAGATTGTAACCCAAAATCATTAAACACAAATATTTGTTTGTGCACGTCGTTCTTGTCTCTTTCGTTTCAGGAATTTTCCGTGTTCACACCAATAAATCATATGAATGAATCAAATCAGAAAAAAAATGAGTACAATTGAAGTTATCTCGGAACGTTCATTCTTTAATTTTAGAGAAAATGTTTTGTAAATAGGAAAAATAAAACTATTTTTTTTTTAACGAGTCAATAACATATCTAACGGGTTAACAAAAACATGACTCATGTTTTAACTTGAATCTCAAGGGTTAGTAAAAACACAACATGTTTTAGACTGGTTTACTCTATTTGATCAAGACAACTAACGCTCATCAGGATATTAAATTTTTCAAGCATAGAGCGTGAGGTTAGTTAGATTCAGTCTGACACACGCTGTTCCCAATACAAATAAAAAGAAAGCTAAAATGCAATTCAAAAATAAATTTTTTGTTAATATTGAGCATGTACCCCGAATTGGTCTGACAAGATAAGTTCGTAACGCTGACAAAAGCCAAAAAAGAAAATTAATTAATTAATTACCATATATATTTTATATTTTATAATGAGAAAGAGAGAGTTTTGTTTATTCGAATTTCTAGATCGCACGTCACTTTCAATTTTTCTGTGGGTTCTTCTCCTTTATAAAGCCATGCCCACGAACGCGCTAGAAAGAAGTTGCACTTCTCTTTGTTTTGAGTCTTGAGGAAGCGATTGAAAGAAGAGAGTTATGATCTTGGTTTTTCTTCCACCTCCAAACAACCACAACCACCGCCATGGAAGCTGGTAGAGGCAAAGCTCGAACCAACACTCTTCTCTCTCGCTTCTTTCTTTCCGGTTTTTACTGCTGGGATTGGGAGTTCCTCACTGCCCTTCTCCTTTTCAGTTGCCCTAATACCTCCTCCTAAATCCTAATTAACTAACCCATAATTTAGTTAAATCCCAAAACCGAAAAAAGGGGGTGGGGTTTGCAGATCAGTTACATACTGTTATAGCCAAATTTTTTTTGTTTCCTTTTTCTGGTTTTTTCCGATCGGAAAAAATGGCGCAAAGGTCCGTTCCGGCGCCGTTTCTGATGAAAACGTATCAACTTGTGGATGATCCGAGCTCGGATGACGTGATATCGTGGAATGAAAGTGGGACGACGTTTGTGGTTTGGAAGACAGTGGATTTTGCGAGGGACATGTTGCCTAAATATTTCAAGCACAACAATTTCTCAAGCTTCGTCCGCCAGCTTAATACCTATGTAAGTTTTTTCGAAATTATATTTTCTTTTGCTTGTATTTTTACTTATATTTATTTTCAAATTATATCACTTGCATGTTTACTTATATTTATTTTCAAATTATATTAGCATAAAAAATGTCTTATTAATTAGTTCATAAATTACTTGAAACCCTTGGAGGGCAGAAGATAATCCCAAAGTGTAGGAAACATTATTTTTATGATTTCGAAAAACAAAGTATAGGACAAAACTGAAGATCGTCGGAAATATGGAATCATTTTCATAGAGATTATCGTTTTCTTTTCCTTTTAAAATTTTTTCTTCAGTAGTTGGTGAAGTTTGCTTGAAAATTAATAAAAGAGGCTTGCATGTCAACCCATAGAAAAAAGAGTTTGATTTTATGGATTCATAAAATCAAATTCTCGCCATTTAGTACTAAGGATTATTGTCTATTGATATTTATTTTTATTTATAAGTGAAAGATTCTAAGTTTGATTTTTGCCAAAATGTTTGAACTACATTATTATTAATTCATTTTGAGACTAAGTCGATCCCTCATTTTTTAATGTAGATAATATTATTTGTTAGAAACTTTCTTTGAAATGTTCATAATCTCTATTAATTAATGAAACTCTCTTTGTCAACCAAAAGAGGATAAAAATATTACTTAGTCTTCTATCACACCAAAAAATAATGAGCAATAATGTAATTTCATAGGTTTAAATTTTATTGTTTTTCATTAAAGCTTTACCTATAAATAGTGTTAAAATACCTTCAATATTAAAAAACAAAAACAAAAAAAAAACCACCAACTCTCCCTACGTTCTCTCTCCCTCTCTCCTTCTTATTTTCTAAAAAAATATATTCATACACAAATATGTAGATAAATGCTAATGGTCAATAAAGAAAATGCCGCAACAAAGAGAAGGAAATAGTTGAAATGTGCCAATGGTAAATAAATTACTATTTCCTTTTCAGAAAAAAAAAAGAAAAAAAAAAAAAACCACTTTTATCATCGTCGAATTGTGACAAGGAATGAACTAAAATAATGATGAGCCTATTTACCTGGAAACTGCAACTAATAATTATTTTTTCAGAAAAGATAATATTATAGTTTGAGTTTTTGTTCAACAAAAAAGAGGTTGATGGGCGTCAAAGAAATATATATTAATCAAAGATAAAGTCACAGTGGAAGCATCCAAACATCACACCCCATTTTAGAACTCTAAATTGTCGGTTGTGGCCGCAACCCAATGTCAAAGTTTTGCAGTCCAATTTTTCAAATCCGACGGCGGAAAATTAAACTTTTTAAACTTACTCAATTATTTCATAAAAAATATATATTTAGTTAATAATTACCAAATTTTTTTCCTTTTGCTTTAATTTCAGGGATTTCGAAAGACTGTGCCGGACAAATGGGAGTTCGCGAACGACAACTTCCAGCGAGGGCAGAAGGAGCTCCTGTCCGAGATCCGCCGCCGGAAATCTGTGACGTCAACGGCGGCGCACGCACCCCCCGGCGAAAAATCCGGAGTACCATCGACACCGTCGAACTCGGGGGAGGAGATGGCGTCGACGTCGACGTCGTCGCCGGACTCGAAGAACCCGGGGTCGGTGGAGACGGCGGCTCCGAGCCAGGTGGCGGATTTATCGGACGAGAACCAGAAGCTGAAGCGGGAGAACGAAAATTTGAACTCGGAGCTGGCGCAGACGAAGAAGCAGTGCGACGAGCTGGTGGGGTTTCTGGTGGAGCACATGAAGATGAAGCCCGATCAGATCAACCGCATCATCGGGCAGGGAATCTGTGGGCCCAGCGGCGATGATTTTGAAGCGGACGATCATGGTCTTGATCTGGATATGGAGGGTGGTGATGATGAGGAAGAAGAGGAGGGATTGAAGCTGTTTGGGGTTTGGGTGAAAGGAGAGGAGAAAATGAAGGGGAAGAAAACGGGGCGATATGAGATATTGGGGGTTGGTGGTGGCGGTGCCGGCGGGCCCCGCGCGAAGAGGATGAAGGGAGGGGTGGAGTTTCACGCGCCGATGATGAGGACCGGGAAGGTGTGCAACTAGGCTAGCTGAGCAAGCCGAGCTACGCGGAGCTAGCTGGAAGGTTGGGGAGGTGTGCATGGTAACTACTGTGCACATACCCGCATGCAGTTTGAAAAATTTGTAGAAAATGCTTTTAATTTTGCATAAAATATGGAGCAATACCAAAGTGCGTAGGTAGTATCGTAGAAGGGTTGCAAATTTGCAATAGATAGAGAAAGAATATGGTGGTGTTATTATGTAACTATAATAAGGAATGGGGTTTTTGAACCTTGTTAGGTATGAGAGGATCCGGATTTGATACTCTGTGCTGATGAGTCCGCTTGATTGTGGTTACGAGTAAGATGAAATTCTCTGGGTTCGGAAGAGGTGGATAACTGTAATTTGCCACCAGTTGCTCTTCCTTTTTGTTTTTGAAAAAATTAAAAAAAACAAAAAGAAGCCCTTGTTATGTATGTACAATGCTAGAAAATGAGACTTGAAACGGTCTCTGTTTTTTTTTCCCCATCGTTTAGGAAAATTTAATATTTGCAATTTTACCTTGTGTACAATCATTATTAACTTGCTTGATCTTAAACTATGGTAATTTTGGGGAAGGATTCTGTCTCATTCTCTCAATTCTTTAACTTGTTGTTCCAAACTTTTGATCTTCTAATTTTTCAACAAGTAATCTTATAGTCGTGTTGAAAAGTTAGACATTGTTTATGCTTACAACGGAAGGGGGTGGGGTGTCAATTGTCATTGTAACAGGTAATTTTAGGTCCAAGTGCTGATAAGTACTATCGTGAGAATTTATCCGGTGCTCATGAGGTAATCTGTCGAGTATTGTAGATATATGTTTAGGAAGCATTTCATTAAACACTTTGTGAGCATAAAGGGGACCATACCAAACATTCGAAGAATTCTTAGAACACTTTTACATGTATATTTCCCAAACTCTGAGAGGTCATGTGACCACCTTGGTCCCAATGTACATCCGTCAAGTATTTTCTTCAAGTTTCTTTAGCTTGAGTTGTGCTTTCTTCCTAACTCACTCACGCAACATGGGGGTTCAATCGAGATGACAATTTTAACAATTTAACCCGATAACCATGAATAATCGTCCGAATGGAACGGATTTGGGTATATTTTGGATAGGGGAAAAAATCATGAATATTATTTGGTTATAATTTTGGATATGGTTATAGGAGTCCCAAATCTGTATCCGTACCCGAATAAAAAATAATATAATTTATATATAATATAGTAGTATTATATATATATATATATATATATATATATATGTATGTATGTATATTTGTATATTCATTATTCACCCAACCCATTACCTTGAGTACACAAAAGGTGCATTTTGTAGGAAGGTTCAAAAGTTTTGAATCAAAATCGATGAGAATTCAATGTTGCTTATTGGAGATATCAAAGATCAGCCAACATCATCAATGTTTTAAATTCAATGCTTTAATTTTTATACTCAACAAGATCCATTAATTGAATCACTATATACATCAAATGTTTAATGACGAAATTAGTATCTAGTAAACTATAATGCGTCAACTGAACGAATATATTTTTTATATTGACTAAGATTGGTATAACCGTTAACCAATGGGGAATTCGTTATCCAGCGGGTATGGTTATGGATAATCCCAGATGGTTAATTTGCAATTATGAATATGGTTAATTTTCGTGGTTATGGGATGAATATAGTATTTCCGTCCACAAACCGAACTGTTGTCATCCCTATGGTTCAACACCAACTGCTTCGGGTTGTGTCGCTTATGCGAGTTCCATGAGTGACGCAATAACATAATCCACACCAAACTAATCTAACTTAGTCCCTAAAACTAATCTAGTATGCGACAATCTCATTGTAATAAACAACACCAAAAATGTAATTTCACCACGTAGCGTCTCGGGATTGACATTTATTTCAGCCCACAAGAATCCGTTTTCATTTGTGTAAGTGCATTTGGATCAACAATTCTATGGTGGTGAAGCCCATATGAAAATACAAACTGGGTTTTAAGTATATGAGCCCACTATGCCCCCCAATGGCTGTCAGAAATATCACAAGAGAATACAATGGCGTCGGTTAGTGACTGTTGTGCTGCCCAGTGAATGAATGGCTGTTATCTTCCCCCACGTCTTACACTCCTCCGCTTTCCCTCGCCCTCCTCCTCTTCCTCCGTCGTCTTCTCCACTTCTCTCCCCGTCCTGCATCCGCGCCTCTTCCGCCTCAGCATCATCTCCCATGGACCCGCACAGCCAAGGGAGCAAAACAAAGTTCATAGACTTCCCCTACGTGTCGGCCCCACACAAGAACCTCATGGTCGATCTTGTATCGACGTTAGAGACGCGCCTTGGCTCGCAGCTCTTGCCTTGTACTCTCCCTCCCGACGTGCAGTACTACCAGAATGAGAGTGGCACCAACCATGCATCCCTCCACATCCGATCGGGCCTCTCCTCCTCCCCTGTAATTTTCTCGAACCCCTGTTTCTGCTTTATAATTTTCACTGGATTTATGTAGAAGTGTGGATATTAATGGTTTGATGCCAATTGGGATTTTAGCTTTTGATTTCAAACTCCCAATGGATTGTGGGTTGGAGGTAGAAATTTATACGAGTAAATTGGGTTCATTTCTTTTATTATTTGGTACATTTTTAATTGGGGAAGAAAGTGGACTTGCTCTAAATATAATTAAATTCTAAATGTAACAAGTGGTAAAAGAATCGTACCTATTTACTTGCTCTAGAATTTTTTTTATGAGTGTTATAAACTTAGAAGGACATGATTTACCAATTTACAGTATCTGATAAATTATTGATACAATATCGTAATGTTATTGACTTAGTGGGATTATAGCATCAACAAAACATCGATCAATTGTCGACATGTATTGCATATTGGTGTGATGTCAACAAAATATCGATCAATCTGAAACTCGTTTGATAATTATTTTGTTTTTCGTTTTCTGTGTTCTAGATGGGAAAGTTTGTGGGAGAAGGGTTTTGAAAAAAGAGGAGGAGGATGGAAGATGGAAGGATATTGAAGAAATGTATATGGAATGATACACAAAATGAAAAACAAAAACAAAAAATACGAAAGCAATTTTTCACTTTCGCGTTTTTGTTTTCGTATATTATCCTTCATTTCTATCTCCATCGTCATTGTCCTTTCATGTTTCTCCCCTATACTCTCCCTCTATTTCTAACATAATAAATGAAAACCAAAATTAAAAAAATGAAATAGTTATCAAATGGGCTCTTACATGTTTTACTCTTCATTGACATTTGTATATTTCAGGTTGATTTGATATTAGGAAGTTGGCTGCACTGTGAGCTACCAACAGGTGGAGCACTGAACATTACAAGTCTGTCATCCTATCTCAATCCAACCACAGATGCACCAAACTTCCTACTTGAGCTCATCCAGAGCAGCCCAACATCCCTAGTCCTCATCCTTGACCTTCCTCCAAGAAAAGACCTAGTTCTCCACCCTGACTACCTCCAAACATTTTATCAAGCCACCCAATTGGACACACCCAGGCAAAAGCTTGAGAAACTTGCTGAGGTCAAACCCTACTTCTCTTCATCGCTATACATCCGAAGCGTAGTGTCTCCAACCGCAATTTTGGTTCGGATCGAAGCAGGGAGTGGCGGGGAGGGGAAAGGCTTGGAGGACATTATAGAAAATGATTTGAGTCCCATTGCAAAGGAGGTGCTGGGAATCTGGTTGGATCAATGTGCTTGTGGGGAGAGAGAAGTGGGAGAGGATGAGAGGGAATATTTGAAGAGGAGGGATGATTTGATCAAGAGGAAGACTATTGAGATTGATCTGGGGTCTAATTTTCCAAGATTATTTGGGGCTGATGCTGCAGATAGAGTATTGGGTGCCATTAGAGAAGTTTATAAGGTATGATTAGTGATGGAATGTGTGCTAATTTGATCACTGTAAAAGATGATAAATAAAATAATTGTACAAAATTTGTATAAATTTAAGCTTCAAAATTTTAGATCACATTATTTGATCACTGTAACTAGTAATTCAAAACTAATACTGTTTGGAGAGACATTATTAGTTGTCCATGTAACAATTTTTTAATGTAAAATTAATATGACTCCAAGCGGGCCAAAGTATAGGACAACCGAGTGTTATATCGTATAAATAAAGTTAAATCGACAGGTAGACCGATAGATGAGTCTGTATATGGGAGCGCTCACTGCACCAGTGGCTTGCCATTCCCATTTTTCGTTGATTCATTTGTTTCGTTAGTTCGTTCTCTTGGGGGTGGTGGTGGCCTTGCGATGGAGGCACATCTAATGGCAGCTGGTTCATTTCAATCTTAGGAATTTTTTTGTTGTTGTTTAGCTGATCACTTTTGAGCCTACTTACTGTATTTTCTTTTTATTGTTGGGCTTGTATGTAAGTAGTGGGCTGCCATTTGAACTCTCTTTTTCCTTGTACTTGCTTTTTTATTTAATGAAAGTAAATTAGTTTGACAAAAAAAAAAAGAGTGAAGTATCAATTTTAAAAACCAAGGATCAAATATCAATTACCATAAACTAGAGAAGTGCAAAGTACAATTAACTTACACTATGTTTGGATGAGAGAAATAAATTTGGAATTTGGGTAAAAGTCATAATTTATAAATTGACATGTACCAATTCCTTTGTCTGGATTCATAAACATAAAAATTTAAAATTTCTGCGTGGAAAAAAAACTTGGAATTTGGGACCTCCAATTCCCAAGTTTAAATTCCATGTAAATAAGTGTCATTTCCTAATTTCCATGATTGAGAGTTTAAAAATAAAAAATTCCGTATTCAATTTCATTAACAAGAAAATTCACAAATTCTAGAAAATAAAATATCTTCATTTCAATTACCTTCATTTTAAAATTCCTTAGTAATCTTAAATTTTTTCATCAAAATATAGTGTTAATTCTTCAATGATCATAAGTTCATAACTCATAAATTTTGTATCCATCTCAAAAGTGATAAATTGATATGCGGTCCAAAAGCTCTTAGCTAGAGATTGATATCTCGAGCTTATCAGGGACCGTCCAGCTGGAGTGGGCCCACATTCAGGGCTCGTGCAAAAATATATGATGAGCCTAATTTGCCTTTCAATCCAAAAACTAGTAGTATCTATAGATGAGTACATGAGGCGCTATAGAATGATACGTTCTCGTGCCACAAACAAGTACCTACAACAAGATCTTGTTGCACATCTTTGGGCCCAAAGAAGCATGGAGTAGGCATTTACGTTTTATGTTTTTAAATGTTTTTTAAATGTTGTTTAAGTTTCATGTTGTATAATTTTTATGTTGGTTAATGTTATTTAATGTTGTTTCGTATTGTTTAATGTTGTTTCATGTTACTTAATTTAATTTAATGTTGTATAATGGCTTAGGAAGTTACAGGAAAAAAATAGAATTTTAAAAAATATGAAACAAATTTTGTGAAATAGAAGTTATAGGAAAAAAATGGAATTTAAAAAAAAATATGAAATAAATTTAGTGAAATAGAAGTTATAGGAAA